TTTTTCCTTTTTTTTTTTTTTTTGAGACGGAGTCTTGCTCTGTCACCCAGGCTGGAGTGGCAGTGGCGCGATCTCGGCTTACTGCAAGCCTCCGCCTCCAGAATTGCTTTAACCTCAGCCTCCTGAATATCTGGGACTACAGGCGCCCGCCACCAAGTCCGGCTAATTTTTGTATTTTTAGTAGAGACGGGGTTTCACCATGCTGGCCAGGCTGGTCTCGAACTCCTGACCTCAGGTGATCTGCTCAGCTCGACCTCTGAAAGTGCTGGGATTACAGGCGTGAGCCACCGCGCCCGGCCTGTGCCTGAATTTCAAAGAGAGGAGGGTAAAATGAGGCCTGCCCCTTCTCCTTCCTATCATGGCCGAACTAGTGTTTCAGGTTAACTTTGCCATGCTCTTAGCTGAGAGGAGGGGTCCGTTCAGTTGGCCGGGAGCTTAGAATGCGATTTTTGGTTCTAGGGAGAGATGCAGAGTTAGGACAACAGGAGAGAAGCGAACCCGGACAGCAACGCCTACCTGACATCCACCGCTCTGGCAGGGCGACCACGCGGCCGGGGCCCGCCCGACAGCAGGTCTCGGGCCGCGCAGCGCTAGCAGCCGCGGGAGGGGGACCCAAACGTCAGTGGTCCCTAGAATCAGGACCCTACCTTGCTCCAGCATCTCGCCAGCCCTCCCTGCAGTCACTGAGCGCAGCAGAGAAGAACAGCCGGGCGCGCCCCGCCCCCTCGCGCCCCGCCCCCTCGCGCCCCGCCCCCTCGCGCCCCGCCCCCTCGCGCCCCGCCCCCTCGCGCCCCGCCCCCTCGCGCCCCGCCCCCTCGCGGGGACGCATTTCCCTGGCCTGCACCCAAGCCGGTAAAAGGGCAGACGTGGCAGCTCAAGGCACCTGCGCCCAGCAGGTTGCAGGCCCCACTCTCCCAGGGAGACCAACATACTGGCGGAACCGCACAGAGAGGTGAGGCTAAAAAGAGGTACCGGTGATGATACCCGGGCTTTTGAGGGCACGGAATTGAGAACTGGAGTGAAACATACAAATAAAAGGAAATAAAAGCTCATCAAGGTTTCTTTGTGTTGCTGATGGTGTAGCACAGGTCAGATACTCGCCCTGCAGAAAGGTCAGGTCAGGAATTTAGGATGCAGGATGACTTCTGATTATTCCCCAGAGGCACCACCTGTGCACTGTTGGCCTCCCTTCTCCACGACTTCACCTGCATTTTGATGTACAATTTTAAAGCTTCTCGATGTGGAATTGGAAATGGAATCCTGTGTCTTTTGGGAAACGTTTACTAAAAGGCATCACATCTTGTTCTCCGTTTTCAGGAAGTTCACTCCTCCCTGTCAGTACTTTGACTAGACAATTAAAATAAACATAGATCCAATTTAGGAGAATGCTATAAAGATACAAAAACACATAAAAACAAAATATTATTTTAAAATACTGAATCAAGAAAACACTTGCAGTACAGCAGTACATAGGACAAATACAGCATAATATTTAAGTCTCAAAGAAATATTCTACCTAAGAAAGAAGCAAAGAATCTGAAAGCTAAGAAAACAAAAATAAAATATGGCAAATACATTTGATTAAAGGTGTTCAAACACGCTAGTACTCAAATTAAAAATAAAACAATGAGATATTATTTCCAGCTCTAAAATTTATAATGATTGAAAATTTAATGGCTGGGCATGGTGGCTCATGCATTTACTCTCAAAGCACTTTTGGAGCCCTAGCGGGTAGGATCGCTTGAGCCCAGGAGTTGGAGGCTGCAGTGAGCCATGGTTGCACCACTGCATTCCAGCCTGGGTGACAGAGTAAGACCCTCTCAAAACAAATAAATAAATAAACAATACATACAATTTAAAAAAGAAAGAAAAGCATTTTAAATAACGAAACTGAAACAGGTCAGGGTCACTGGTGTCATTGTCTAAGGTGTTATCTAAGCTTGTGGTCTCATGACCAAGAAAATTAAGCAGTATGGACACGTGAGGTTGGAGCAAAAATAGAAGCAGAGAGTAAAAGGGCGATTGCCAGGGGCTTGGGTGAAGGGGAAATGGGGAAATGTCGGTCAAGAGGTACAGATTTTCAGTTTTGCAAGATAAATTTTTGGGGATTTAACGTACATAGTGACATTATTTGACATATGTACATAGTGACATGTGACATAGTTAACAAACCAGAAAAAAATTTTAAATGAGATGTTCAGAAACGAAAAAACAATACTACCTGACATTTGCTAAGAGGATAGTTTTTTGTTTGTTTTTTTTTTTTTTTGAAACTGAGTCTCGCTCTGTTGCTCAGGCTGGAGTGCAGTGGCATGATCTCGGCTCACTGCAAGCTCCAACTCCTGGGTTCACACCATTCTCCTGCCTCAGCCTCCCAAGTAGCTAGGACTACAGGCACCCACCACCACGCCCGGCTAATTTTTTTGTATTTTTAGTAGAGATGGGGTTTCGCCACGTTGGTCAGGCTGGTCTCAATCTCCTGACCTCGTGATCCACCCACCTCAGCCTCCCAAAGTGCTGGGATTACAGGCGTGAGCCACTGTGCCCGGCTGCTAAAAGGACAGATTTTTATTTTTTGCTACAAGGTTAGATCTTAAGTGTTCTTCTGCATGGGGGAGAGAAGGATATTTTTTAAAAAAGTGTTCTGACCACACGCACACACACACAAAGGGTGTAATTTGAGGTGGTTAATACATCAATCAGCTTGATTTGATTATGGTAACCATATCATATTATATGTCTATATCAAAATTCAAATTGTGTATTTAAAATATGTATCTTTTTTGTCAACTGTACCTCAATAAAGCTAAAAAGTAAATATAAGGCCCAGGACGGTGGCTCACACCTGTAATCCTAGCACTTTGGGAGGCTGAGGCAGGTGGATAACCTGAGGTCAATAGTTCGAGACCAGCCTGGCCAATATGGTGAAACCCCATCTCTATCAAAAATACAAAAAATTAGCCAGATGTGGTGGCAGATGCCTGTAATCCCAGCTACTCGGGAGCCTGAGGCAGGAGAATCACTTGAATCTGGGAGGCAGAGGTTGTAGTGAGCTGAGATCGTACCACTGTACTCCAACCTGGGCAACAAGAGTGAACCACTGTCTCCAAAAAAACAAAAATACAATATTTAATTGGAGTAAATATAATATGATGTAACATATATGCACACACATAAAGGGTGTGATTTGAGGTGATAAATAGATCAATCAGCTTGATTTGATTATGGTAATTATATCATATGTGTATTTCAAAATTCAAATTGTATATTTAAAATATATATCATTTATATCATTTTTGTCAACTGTACCTCAATAAAGCTAAAAAGTAAATACAATATTTAATTGGAGTAAATATAATATAATGTAATACTTATGTACACATACACAAAGGGTGTGATTTGAGGTAGTAAATACATCAATCAGCTTGATTTGATTATGGTAATTATATTATATGTGTATATCAAAATTTAAATTGTACATTTTAATATGTGTCATTTTTGTCAAATTTACCTCAATAAAGCTAAAAAGTAAATACAGCATTTAACTGGAGTAAATATAATATAATGTAATATATATGTTATATAGTATATCAATATTATATTGTTTATTATTATTATTATATATTAATATAATATATTGAATAATAATATATTATAATTTATTATAATAAATTTTCAATATTGTGTCAATTAATTTAAAACACATTTATAATTGTAATATCTAATGTTCAAGTAGATGAACATATAATTTGTATCAAAATATAAACATCAATATAAACAAACAGCAGAACATTGTGCTCTAGATTTCCAGATAAATTTGGTGAAAAAACATTGTGATGAAATATATATAGAAAAGAAAAACAATTTATCATTGTTTTAATTAAATAAAGTGTAAAATTTTCCTGTTAAATGTTATTTCATGTTATTTTCCTGGTTCAAAATTGTTTCTCAAAAATGGCTTGATATCTGGCCAAATTTTATTTGTGGATAGTCAAATATATCAATAAATGAAATTCATATCACTTCACTATGTGCTTTTAATAACATTTTTTAAATTACACAAATATATACATGTAATAAAACCTTCCCTTTTATCCTGCAGTATTGTAGATTACAGTTATAAAAGGTGGCAACCACCAGCCAGCTTCCCTCAAGACTGATCAATGACTGATCAATGACTGGTCAATAGTGAGGCATTTTTTTCCATGCACAGGTACCCTCACTTGCATAAGTTGCAGGGTCGTGCCTGTGCAGGGTAGGATCTTCTCTCTATTTACAATTTTTATGTTTCGTTAAGATGGACCTTTTACATTACTTAAAATATATATTGCATTCAAATATTATTTATCTTGATCATAGAATTTTTAGCACCCCCTTAAATTTTGTTCCTGTCTCACTAGCCTCACTCTTATTTGGTACTAATTAGAAATAACACTTTTAATTTAATAAGCAGAGGCCACTATGTCAAAAAATACGTGGAGAGCATAAAAACCCCGTTTACAAAAGAATAAGTGTATATCATAAGCATTGAAAAAATATGTATAAGCAGAATAGTACTCAAAAATATTCTTTTTTTAAGAAATTGGGAACTATTGCAAGCTTGTCTCCCTGTTCAGAGTCCAGTGATTTGGGAGGAATCTTTTTCCCACAAGGGGGTTAGGGGAGCCAAGGAGCATGACTCTGTGTATTCGTGAGTTGGCATGGGGCAAAATGTTCTTGTGATGGCTTACGTGTAGGGGTTGATAACAATTTATACATTGGTGTATATTATTAACTATCCGTTGACGAAAAGGAGTTCTATCGAGTCCTTTTTAGATTGAGGACACATGTTTCTAAGGAGTTTCTAGGGAGTAATAAAATTACTAAGGGTGGAACTAGAGATTTATGTAAATGGTTTAAAAAAGTGGGCGGGACCACCTGGCTAAGCATATAAAACCCAGCCCTGTGCAGAGTGACTTGTCTCTCAGATGGTGGCTCAGCCTTCAGGACTCTCTTCCAGCATGGCCGAAGATGCCTCTTCACACAGTAAGTTCCCTTGTGCTTGACTGAGCGTTTGTTGGCTTGGGGGAAAAGTCGGGCTAAAAACCTAGTGGTCTTGTCAGAAGTTGTGAGAGTTCCATTTGTAAACTTTAAAATAACTGTATCTGAATAAGGGAAAACCAGTTTCTCAGATGTGACATTATGAAAACAGGCTGTTTTCAGCGCATTTGAGCATTGGGAATTTCAGAAAGGTACAGATATTCAAGAACTAAATAAGACATATTTGAGCTTCAGGTGGGAAGAGAGGAGGAAGGAGCAGAAAAGAAAAAAAAGGAGAGGGAGACAGATACTAAAAGAAAGCAACTATGGGCCACGTCACAAAGTTTAGAGCTCAAAATATCCTTGGAATCAAGGATTCCAAATCTGGAGAGCACTTTCCAGATTTCTCTCTACAGAACGTTTGAACTTTTCTCCTGAACTTTGGACTTTATCTAATCGCCTACTGGTCTCTAACAGGCATCTCAGACTCAACGTGTTCCAAACTGAGCTCCTGATGTTCACATCTAAACTATTCCTCCCACTGTTTTCTCCAGCTCTGGAGGTGACAGGTCATGTCTCATATCTAGAAAACACCCCAACTCCATTTTTTTCCTCATAACATAATCTAGTCAGGCTGGACATTCTGATGGCTTTAACGTTCAAATATTTAAGGAATCTGACCATTTCTTGGTCCATCTCCTTAGATGATTGGTCCATTGCATTAGATTATTGCAGCCTTCTCCTAACTGATCTCTCTGCTTCCACCAACCTATTCTCAATCCTGTACCTCATGTGATGTTGTTAAACTGTTAATTAAATTATGGTAGCCAGGTGCGGTGGCTCATGCCTGTACTCCCAACACTTTGGGAGGCTGAGATGGGCGGATCACGAGGTCAGGAGTTCGAGACCAGTCTGGCCAACATGGTGAAACCCTGTGTCTACTAAAAAATTAGTAGAGACAAAAATTAGCCGGGCGTGGGGGCATGTGCCTGTAACCCCAGCTACTTGGGAGGCTGAGGCAGGAGAATCACTTGAACCCGGGAGGCGGAGGTTGCAGTGAGCCAAGACTGCACCATTGCACTCCAACCTTGGCAACAAGAGTGAAACTCTGTCTCAAAAACAAAAAAACAAAAAAACAAAAAACAAAACGATGGATCAGTTGTGTGAAACTGAAGACAGGGACAAGCATTCAAAGGTCAAACAAAAAAGCTGTTGGGCTTTTAACTGAACCTCTAGCATCTCTAATAACTTTTCTTGTCATCTCAATTCACTAAGTCTAATTCTGTTACAAAGTGGTATGTTCCAAAATGCTTTCCAGATTTGGTTATTTCAAGGGGATGTCCTATCCAGGAAATTATGTGATGTTGTTGTTTTTTTTTTTTTCCTATTGGAAAATTCTACTGAAAGTATGAAATTCTTTTTCCAGTTAGTTTTGTCCTCTCTGTGGTGTTTTTAAAAACATCTTGGAAACTGATACTGTTTGCCTGCTATTGCTATTTGCAATGGAGCAATGGAGCAATGTAAAAAAATATGCTCCGGCCAGGGGTGGTGGCTCATATCTGTAATCTCAGCACTTTGGGAGGCCAAGGCTGGGGGATCGCTTGAGCCCAGGAATTTGAGACCAGCCTGGACAATGTGGTGAAACTGTATCAAAAAGTAGAAAAATTAGCTGGGTGTGGAGGTGTGCACCTGCAGTCCCAGCTACTCCGGAGGCTGAGGTAGGAGGATCACCTGAGCCTGTGGAGGTGAAAGCTGCAGTGAGCCATGATTGCGCCACTGCACTCCAGCCTGGGCAACAGAGTGAGATCTGGCCTGAAAAAATAAAAATAAAATAAAAATAAAATATATGCACCAAGGAATTTTGACCTGAAAAACTGAAAGGGGTTGAAATGGTCCATTGTATCACAAACTCTTCGTTTCTATGACTTCATCACTATGCCATATCACCTGCATTATTGACTTATATTGTTTCTAATCCATATGAACAGAACACATTGTTTTTCTTAAAAAAATTATTGGTATTTTCATGACATACACATT